ACTCGGATAGTTATCTTGGGCATAGCATTTTACCAAATCACCTCATTCTTTGGGGCACACGTGAGGAACACAAATGCGAACAAGCCTGAATGGTCCCCAGGACAATATGCAACTGAAAACTTCAGTTGCATATTGTCCTGGGGACCATTCAGGCTTGTTCGCATTTGTGTTCCTCACGTGTGCCCCAAAGAATGAGGTGATTTGGTAAAATGCTATGCCCAAGATAACTATCCGAGTGCCGGCGGTGGGGTGGTTCAAATAGCCTCGGCTATCACCTCATTTTGTCCGGTCGTGATGGTCAAGTGGATTAAGGCGTCTTGTACATACCAGTTGCGTTGCTTCTGGGAGTATGGGTTCGAGTCACTTCTGGGGTGTGAGTTTTCAGTTGCATATTGTCCTGGGGACCATTCAGGCTTGTTCGCATTTGTGTTCCTCACGTGTGCCCCAAAGAATGAGGTGATTTGGTAAAATGCTATGCCCAAGATAACTATCCGAGTGCCGGCGGTGAGGTGGTTCAAATAGCCTCGGCTATCACCTCATTTTGTCCGGTCGGGATGGTCAAGTGGATTAAGGCGTCTTGTACATACCAGTTGCGTTGCTTCTGGGAGTATGGGTTCGAGTCACTTCTGGGGTGTGAGTTTTCAGTTGCATATTGTCCTGGGGACCATTCAGGCTTGTTCGCATTTGTGTTCCTCACGTGTGCCCCAAAGAATGAGGTGATTTGGTAAAATGCTATGCCCAAGATAACTATCCGAGTGCCGGCGGTGGGGTGGTTCAAATAGCCTCGGCTATCACCTCATTTTGTCCGGTCGTGATGGTCAAGTGGATTAAGGCGTCTTGTACATACCAGTTGCGTTGCTTCTGGGAGTATGGGTTCGAGTCACTTCTGGGGTGTGAGTTTTCAGTTGCATATTGTCCTGGGGACCATTCAGGCTTGTTCGCATATATATATATATATATATATATATATATATATATATATATATATATATATATATATATATATATATATATATATATATTTATATTTATATATATACATATGTCGTACCTAGTAGCCAGAACGCACTTCTCAGCCTACTGATTATCAATTATGTACATCTGCCTCTTTCACTCAGGGCACAACACAATACCAGTGTTCGTCAAGCCCAGTGAACCCACTTTCCAAGTGTACTTTGTCTACTGGCAAACATTGGCGAGTTCACCTTCTACATGGGCAAGTCCACCCAGACAGTATAATAATGTGTCTACACCCATTCTTTGCTCTCCAGATACTCACTGGCAGAGGGCTTCAGCAACACGTTGACAGGGGTCTCAAACAACCATACACAGGAGTAGCAAACTCCCTGGCAGATGCCTCTAGCAGCCTGCTAGCAGCACTTCACAAATAGACACATCACTGTCTTCCTTAACTCTCAGAAGTCAATCCCGGGTACGTCGATCTTCAACAACACCATATATGATCACACACAGAGATCACACTAACGTGACGCATCAAATGAACAATAATGCTCAGTCGAATAAGGCAGTGTCTGGGGATGCTCCCAACCGCAGGTTCGAATCCTCGTCACGGCCCTTGTGGATTTGACCATATATGAGCAGCTAACACACGCTGCTCGGATCAACAACGACTTAGTCTTCTCGCAGGACCAAGTTAAGGGGCCAATAGGTAGTTTGTTTAAAATTGCTCGATTTCAATCAAACTTTTTTGACGAGTTGTATATGAAAAGGGTTCCATCTGGTCCAAGTCTCAGCAGCGTAGCATAAATAGGAAGGGAGAAAAAATATTGAAGTAGGTTTCAAACATTTTCTAAAATGGTCAAAAGATATTATCAAACACAAGTGTCAACTGAAATCATGTCTATGACTCTCAGCTATCACAATCGCATGTATAAAAAATTATAACTATGTTTATTAAAAAATAAGTTAAAATTTTCTATTTTTTCTTATTTGTTTATCGGACGATTTGCGTGAAACTTATACACCTGACAGCACGTAAGCCTATCTGTAAGGGTGCCAATTTTGGAAGAAATTAGTTGATGTCAACTTCAGCCACAGATGGCAACACCATGGACTTTATTTTTTACTTATTTATTTCAAGTTACATAAATGTTCATATAACTTTTTCATTTTTTATTAAATTTACATGAAATTTACACCTTATATGTATAGTTTATGTCTCTAAAATATAGATCAAGCGTTCTTTCCTAAGTTCATTTATTGATTTTATAATAGCAATAAACATGTTACATTTTAATTTTTTTTTTTTTTTTTTTTTGGGGGGGGGGGGAACTTTGACTATTTGTATTAGAAAAATTAACATGTTTTGGAAAATCCCCGGCCTCAAATCCTTTATTATATGCTAATGTGTCAGAAAAGTGTCATAGAATTATTATATCTGAAACGTGTGGTTGTATATACACACTTGAATTGTGTAATATTCGTCGAACAAAAAAACAATTAAATCTCTCTTTCTATTTAGGCTACAGTACTGAAACTTGGAACAATTGCAGCACTTTTCATATACGACTAGTCAAAAAATATTTGTTGACATTGAACAACTTTTAATTTAGAGCTTGTGTACTGCCCAAGGTAAACTGCCCTTCTCAGCTCAATCGCCTCCATATGTAACCTCTGTGCACATAAAAACGCCATTAGCCAGATGCACAGTACACTGGGTAAACCTGGAATAACACTCATTGACTGGGGGGTTTGACATTGTGACTTGTAGCCACAACTAAGATGGTGCTTATCTTGATAAGCCACCCACCAGAGGTCATCCACATCGATCTCCTCTTCTGACTGGGGCAAGAAACTGAAGCCATTCGCTGCTACGTTACCACCAACAGATGGCGTTGCCTGCATAGCGCCTAATACTAGGGGAGTTGGAGGGCAGACCCATAGATGGCGTTGACATTGCCACTCCACACTCCGATGATAGTGTCGATACCGTAACAATAACACTTTGACTATGGTGCAGGTGGTGATAGTGGTGACACCCTGACTATGGTGCAGGTGGTAATAGTTGTGACACTTTGACTATGATGCAAGTGGTTATAATGGTGACACTTTGACTATGGTGCAGGTTGAGGTTAGGGTGCCACCCTGAATATGGTGCAGGTGGTGGTAGTAGTTACACCCTGACTATTGTGCAGGTTGTGGTTGTGGTGACACTTTGCCTATGGTGCAGGTGGTGGTAGTTGTGACACTCTGACTATGGTGCCGGTGTTGGTAATGGTGACACACTGACTATGTTGGAGGTGGTTTTAATGTGACACTTTGACTATCGTGCTGGTTGTGTTTGTGGTGACCCTTTGATTATGGTGCAGGTGGTGGTAGTGGTGACACCCTGACTAAGGTGCAGGTGGTGGTAGTGGATGATCGTGGTGACACTCTGACTACGGTGCAGGTAGTGGTAGTGGGTGATAGTTGTTACACTCTGACTATGGTGCAGGTGATCCTGCAGGAGGGTGATATGAAGATCCTCGTTAGTAGCCTACGACTCTACACTAAAAAAAATTGTTATCCGGAATGTATTCAACAAATATTAGCTGAGTTAGGAAGAAATCAAGGTTCTACACAGGCTATTGTAGGCCAAGAAAAATTGCCCCAAAAACACCCATGAAAAATAGTGAAATATATTATTCCACAAAATGTTATTTTACCAATAAAGTTTAGTTACAATGATTTTGGTGCTGGAATCTAAAAATGGAATTCGTACCCTCGTGTCTTTGTTTGACCAGACTATGATGGCTTACTTCACCTCCAGTTGATGTCTTTCCATGACATCAACTTTTTTATCTTTACCTGGCCAGAAAACTAGTGAACGTTTACTTCCCGTCCTCTTTACCTGACCAGAAGACCTCCGATGGTTTATTTCACCTCCAGATGATGTCTCCCCATGACCCAACGACCTCTGATGGTTTACTTCACCTGCAGTTGATGTCATTCTGTGACAAGAAGACCTCTGATGATTTGCTTCACCTCCAGATGATGTAATTCCATGACCGGAAGACCACTGATGGTTTACTTCACCTGGTTTACTTCCCGTCTTGTTGATGTTCTTACCTGGTCAGAAGACCACTGATGGTTTACTTCACCTCCAGTTGATGTCTTTACTTGGCCATAATACCTGTGATGGTTTACCCAACCTCTAGTTGATATCTTTATCTGACCATCAGATCACAAACGGTTTATTACACCCCGTTGATGGCTTTTCTTGAAGAATTACTGAATTTTCTTGATGCTGACTACTGAATTCTTCTTCTTGACTGAAAGACTTCACTTCCGGTTGATATCTTTGTTCCCCCAGCAGAACACTGGAGGTTGACCTCGTTGATGTTTTCTTTGGGTTCCTGAAGGTTCTCGTCTCGTGCCTGTTCTTCCCAATATTTGTTTATTTATCATGCCATCTAATTGTATTTACTTTACATTTCCTTCAACTGTTTAGTAATAAACTTTGTTCACTTCTAAAGATGTAATAAATGTCATTGAATATACTTTCATTAAAATTATGAAAATAATTGTATTATTTATAAATGGTACATTATCGCCTTAACATTTTGGTCTGAGGCCTGACCTCAGACCTCTCAATCTTAGATTTATGACCTCAGACCTCTCGGTCTTAGTCTTGTGACGTCAGACTTCACGGTCTAAGACTTGTGATCTCTGATTTCTCGGTCTTAGACTTGTGACCTTAGACTTCTCGATCATAGTCTTGTGACCTCTTACTTTTCGTTCTTAAATTTGTGACCTCAGACTTCTCGATCATAGACTTGTGACCTCAGACTTTACAGAATAAGACGTCATAATTGACCTTGCATTCCTTGATGCGAAACCTTAGATCAAATATACCTTAGTTTAGAAGCCATGGGCCGTAGAGTTCACTGTCCTATATATACAAAGTTTCTTGCCAGGGATTTCTAAATTGACACTCCCTTAATAACGTGTTGTTTTGAAACTTATGATGACTGCAGAGGCTGCTGTTTAATTCACAGGAGGGACGGACCCTGTAGTGGACCTGGCCTTGCAGTCCCTGGGCGACCACCATATCATTACTGATGGAACCTTTGGCTTCATCGGCGCCTTCCTTGGGAGAGGCATCATCGTCTACCCTTACCCCAATGGCTGGCCTCTCTACCCTTGCTTCAACTCCTCTATCCTTCAACCCATCACCAGGAACAATGCGACCTTCGTAACCCCTCATGTGTCAGTATTGGTACACTCTGTCACACTTTATATGCTACTACAGCAGGTACAATGTTGTTAATATATCCAGTTATCCCACACCAACCTGTACCAGTGTGAGAGTGTGCACTCTCAGAGCAAAAACTTATTGAGTGATGCTAAGGAGGTGATGCTTGAAAGAGGCAATTCCGTAATTTGTTAAACGAAGTTTATCAAGTTGAATATCAAAACTCTCGGTACATCGAGAGAAGTACAATGAGGTCAACAGTTATGACCTGGGTCACCTGGGTCAGCTGCAATGCAGAATGCAGGACTCTAGGAAGTAGGGTACATCCTACCAGGGGGAGAAATTGTTGAAGTGAGATGGGTAAGGGGGGGAGAAACAGCCTTCCCATCACAAAGTCGTTGCATTTGTTATTACCAGCTCCCCCCTCCCCAACAAACCTCCTTAGAAACAGTGGGGCATTGTTCTGGGAGCTGATGGCACCAGATGTTATGCCACTAGGAGCGAGTGGATCATAGGGACTGTCTCCTTCGTCCTTCTTTTTTTCCTATGTACCATTTGTTATTTCGTATTGTTATTATGTATTTAAACATTATTGAGTGTCATTAATGTTAATGATTGTAATGGAATTTGATAGGATTAAATAATTTTGTTTCGAGGCATCTGTTACAAAATTTTGTTTTTAGTTCATGGTTATAGTAGGGCAGGATAAGAAATTCGTTCTTTAAAGCAATTTACATACGCATTTCTTAATTCCAGAGAGAGAGTTGTAACGGCCTGCTGTACAGGCCTAACTTCTCCCTCCCCTCCCCCTTGTTTCATCTTCCCCCCTCCCCCTTGTTTCATCTTTCCCCCTCCCTCTTGTTTCATCTTTCCCCCTCCCCCTTGTTTCATCTTTCCCCCTCCCCCTTGTTTCACCTTTCATCCCCCTCCCCCTTGTTTCATCTTTCCCCCTCCCCCCCTTGTTTCATCCCCCTCCCCCTTGTTTCATTCCCCCTCCCCCTTGTTTCATCTTTCCCCCTCCCCCTTGTTTCCTTGTTTCATCTTTCCCCCTCCCCCTTGTTTCATCTTTCCCCCCCCCCCCTTGTTTCATCTTCCCCCCCTCACCCATTGCTCCTCTTCCCCTCCATATCATAACCTCTTCAAGTGAGGTTGCTAAGACCGTCTATATTTGCGTTCCTCCCCATTGTTGTTGTTGTTGTTTTAGATTTAGCTACTCAGAACGAAATGTCCATGTAGCACGGGCTATGGTGAACTCGTAATTGAGTTTGGTTATTCGCGATAACCTTATTTGGGTCAAAGTTTTAAATGGAGATGGGGGTTCCCTCCTTTTTCCGTTTCTTTTTCGCTTCTGTTTTAGTCGTGTTTTAATAATATTATCTTGGTGACAGATGTAGATGCAGAATGTTCACTAGTGAGTTCCATTCTTTAACGGCGTTTCTAATCATTGTAGTGGCTGTGGAATGTGCATCTAATGCAGCTGCTGTCGTTGGATTAATGTTTAGTTTGATGCACAGGGGTTCAGTAGCTTCACATTCCAGTAAGTTGTGCAATAATGGCGCCTCTGTTTCTGTTCCACAGATATGACTCTCTTTAACTATTGGGTTTATTACCTCCCAGCAGCACTTGTAACCAAGTCTGAGTCTGTGTATGGCTACTGCAATACCTAGTGGCTTGTTTGTACCATATCGCAGTGGATCTTCCTTCCACTACTTTGGCTCTGTGGCGACTTTTGATAGTTGGGAGTATTTTCTTCTTGATTTGACTTGATATTTGATATTTGATTTGTTCATAATCTGTGAAAGTTCCTCCCAACTCTTCCACTCTCAATACCAGCCCCTCTCCTCTCTCACTTTTCACATCTCCACTCCCCCATCCCTCTCCGTGCCGTACCTTGGCTATGCCAGGCTGGAACATTAATCATCCGTTCCAGTCATGCGGGTTCTCATGTTACCGCGAGGCCAGGCGAACCTGCCAAGGTCTGGCTTGTGTTCCTGCGTACAGAGGAAGCTTGTTCAAAACTCAACCAGTGTATAACTGACACAATCTGCCGGAGTAAAATGTACCTCTTCGAATTTCTAGCCAAAATGACCCAGGGTTATGATTAACTACATATAAGAGTGTTCCAGCTAGGAGCCGCGTATTAGTGGAGGACCAAAGAGTGGCCGAGCACTGAAACGTCAGGGTGCCAGACCTCTGGCAAGGTTTGAAATGACTGGATTAGGCCTCTGTTAAGGGGCGTGACTTAAGGAGCTTAGATAGCCTTAGGGGTGGAGCCTTCAACATCAAAAGGCTGGATATTGCAGGATTTGGTAATGTGCTTCTTGAGTTTTCATGTTATATTATTATTTTCCATTGCTTCGTTAGCATTTAATTACAGTTAGGATATATAAATCAATTTATTAAATAAAAATTCATATTGATTTATTTTGGTGTTTAGCTAATTTCCCCTTCTTATTAATTTGAGTCATTAATTCTTCATTAGATGCTGTGTTGGGACCATGCCATTCAGTATTAAAGTTGTCCCTTGATTCTAAGTAATTAAACTAAAGAGTTGTTATAAAGCACTTCCAGTAATTAATTTCCAAGATTCCTATGTCCTTCCAGTTCATAATTATTAGTCTTTCTTCGTCCCTGGAAGATCGGTAAATGCAGTCTCATTCGTTCAATAGACAAGAGGGTGGTGGTAGCTGTAATTATTAAGTCATAACACCAGTTGTGTTTTAATTAGTTCAGTTTAACAGAGCTGGTAAGTCCACCTCAGGGTCAAAGTGGGCTGATCAACCCCCCAGCTGTGTTAAGCTGGGGGTTGATCACGGGTACAAAAAGGAGGTGTTACACGGGAAGGAGCACTAGTGGGTGGAGGGAACTATATCGTGAGCTGTGAGATCAAGCCCATTGTTCTGTGTTTCCTAAGTATCATTATATTCCTGACGCCAGTAATTACACCAGCTACCGGATCACTGGATAATTGCAGGTAGCCTGAGGGTGAAATTTATATCATTATGAAGAATCTGAGGAGATTAACACCAGTTCCAGAGACGTGGAGACCACGTGTGTCGCATAGTAGTGGACTGTGTCAGGATCACTTAAGGAAGGTGGCAGGTGCAACACGAAATGTATTCCATCTAGTTGTATTCATCTAGTTGTGCTTGCGGGGGTTGAGCTCTATTCTTTTGGCCCACCTCTCAACTGCCAATCAACTGTTACTACTATTTTTATTTGCACACACACACACACACCGAGAAAGCAACCAGTAACAGCTGTCTAACTCACAAGTACCTATTTACTGCACGGTAACTGGGGCATAAGGCTGAAAGAAACTCAGCCCCATTTTTGTTTCTTGTTGGCGCCAGGAATTGAACCCGGGCCACAAGATTACATGTCCAGCGCACTGTCCACACGGCCACCGGCGCCCATTTGTTGATTAAACAGCTTGTAGGAAGACTATGTCCTGTGTGATCATGTACTAAGCCAAGTGTTGAAAGACTGTCATTGTGAGTCTGACTGGGAGTGATTGTCCAGTCATCTGTGAAACAATCAAGTGTGGAATATTCCCAAAAGTGTATATAGCTTTGGGCATAGCGAGATTGTGGTATTTCGCGGGTGTGTGTGATAAGGGAGTGTAGTATATCTTCCCTCACTACGCCTGAGGCTGTGGGTGTGGTCGTGCGTTCCTGTGTGGGTGCGCGTGTTCACGAGCCGCGCGTGCCACCTATAGGAAACGGGGACTGAGGAGCTGTATGTATCTGGTGCGTTAACGAACAGATAACGGGAGTCATTATCGGGAGTACTTCGTCATACTAGTTAAGTACTAAAGAAGAGGTTAAATTATATCGCAAGAAGCAGTAGAACAGTGACTGAGTGACTGTTGCAACTTGCGCTGGGGCTCTGATGATCTGATCTCTGTGATTGATCAGCCCTGCGTATTGCAACCCCTAGCACTTACATTTATCACCTGATAGCTGGAGGTGTGGACTTAATCTACCATTGAAGGATTAAATGCCAGGTCCCCTCGCTATCCTACAGTCGATCCGGCAGCCAAAGACGTCATTCAGGAGCAGCTCTACATCAAGCGTGTAAGGCGTGACTGACTAAATACATCTCGGGTTATTGTATTGTGTACAGTCATTTTGGTGGTACAGTAAACCACTCAATCTCTGATTTATCAGCGTGTGCTCGCAACGAGACCACTGTGTCAGAAGTAAAGAGGGATAATGGGGGTGTTTATCTTTCTGGTGACAGCTCTTAACCTTCCTTGACCTGTCACTAGTGAGAGTGACAGGTGACGTGTTGTGTGCGAGTACAAGTGTTTTATAACACATTGACAATTAGGCTATTAACATCTATTCAGTGTTTTAGGTCCACTCGATCACTCGTGATGGTCGAGTGGATTAAGGTGTCCTGTACATACCAGTTGCGTTGCTTCTGGCAGTATGGGTTCGAGTCACTTCTGGGGTGAGAGTTTTCAGTTGCATATAGTCCTGGGGACCATTCAGGTTTGTTTGTATTAGGTGTTTAATGAGTACATGTCTGTATGATACAGTGTTCTATCTCATTCCAGAGGACCGGTAAGAGTCAGTCATTGATTGTTACTCTTTGGATTATTTCTCATGTATGTGTGTAAGTTGTGTTGTGGTATAGAGTGATAGCCTTGTTAGAGATTTCTCTGGTTACACGATATTTAAAGACATCTAACGTATTTAGTGAAATCAGTAATGTAATTAGTAAAGTCATTATTGTCGTTGATTGCTAGTTGTCAGTTTGACAGTGTATCTAGTTCTTAATTGATGTGTCAAGTGATAAACTTGAATTTAATGTATTGAAGTGATTGCTAATTGTCAGTGAGACAGGGTATTTGCATAACTCTTTGACAACTGTGAGGTCAGTGTGTCAGTAACGTAAATTATAAGAGTAATTTGTAATTATCTTTGAGTGCCGTCCAAGTGACGTGCGTTAACATAGTTGAATGTCTTAGTGACATGGATTATTATAGCATTTGCTGGAGTAAATTACTTTTAGTGTTAAAATTGTACTAATTGTCCTTGTGACATTGTTGTGTTCCATTTCACGTGTTCATGTCATGATTTGGTAGTTGATTTGACAAGAGTGTACACGAAATGTTTTAAGTTAGTTCATTGTTGTTGATGATCTGTCCAGTGGGTCGAGACCTTGTGTCTCGATACACCTGTCAGGTGGTGGGTCAGGAGACTTACAGCAACCGTCGTGTTTGACAGATCTTAAGTGACACTCTTGGTTTAACGTAAAGTATAGGAGCTATGTATTAGACAATAAGTTTGTTGAATAAATTGTTATTTTGTTTACACAGGCTTTTATGTCATTCCCCATTCTCCGGTTCTGCCCCGCCCCCTTATTCAATTTGCTACTTAATCATTCTATGTGGATTGAGTTGGCTCAGATCCCAGCCCATAGCTCCAATCACCTTATAATTATAGCTCCAATCACCTTATAATAATTATACATTATTAGTATGAGAACCCGTCCTTTACATGCTCAATTCGCTACAAGGGAGTTGCAGAGAGAACGACCTAGTGAGAGAAGGTCGTGTGGTGCATTGTAGAGGGGGAAGACCATCTTGGTCTTCATCCTTTTCCTTTACTACTGGATCTTTGGCGTTTGTTCTCGCTTATCTCTCCATTCGGATTGCTCAGTCCACATGTGGCCTCCCGGCATGGAGCCTGGTTGTGAGTTAGCATTCAACCCGGAAGTAGAATCTCACTTCTGGCTTAATCAGGGACAAAGGCAGT